AATGTCATCCCTGAAGCAAACACAATACACATTTTCTAAAATTTTAGGTCTTTATATAAATAGTGAGCCAAGAAATATAAAAAAGAAAAGAAAAAGGTGATGCCAGAGAACAGCCAATGCCCACTATAAATGGTTTCTGTTTCAAATGAATCACTAAAATATTTTAGTTCCCAACTCCATCTTTCAAAGGGATTGTTATATTTTGAGCTTTTTAAAATAATATTCCTTTAACTTATTATAAAAATTGCTCAAATCATTTATAATGAAGTGCGATTTTGCCAGTTTACAATCATCCTGTCCTTTAGAATGGCTTTGGCATTGTGCTTCGCAAACAGCATTTAAAATGAAAGCTTTTTTGCAGCTGGCATTTCTCTGTTCCCAACTGGTGCCTTTCAATAAAAATTTAGAAATAGATTATAACCTTTGACCCCAAACTTTGTTTTAGTTTGGCTTTTAGAAGGTATATAGACTACCTGGTATTATTAGCTCAAGGAAACCCTACTGCAAAGGGTTTGCATTGAAAGAGAAAAATAAATGACTGGAATTACAGTAGTACCTGGCGTTAGGGTCTCTGGCAAGAATGGCTGTTCAGTGTCCAGTTATGTGGAGTCTATAGATGTTCACTAACATGGCTCTCAGCTTCTTTCTGCTCCACTATCAGTAAGCTTCCTCACAGTTTCTGGCTCCCCCTGGTTTTGCACAGGGCCCTCAAGCAAATTCTTACTTGGGATCTCAAAGGGGAAATAGGATTGTTTCCGTTATCTTTTGTGACAGCCAGGTGGAAAGCCAGCCTAAAGATTGGTTTCCTAAGTCAGGTGCCCACTTCTAGTCCATTCAGTTTTACCTGCTTGGGGCCATCGGCAGGTTCATGTGGGCAGTAGAACCTGTCATTAAAATGTTAGATTATTTTAATGGCAATTGCTTGGAGGTCAGGACTGAAGAAAACTAGGCCCAGTATTTAGCCAGGTGGATTTTGGGGTATATTTTAGAAACATGGTAACAAGACTATAAAAAAATGCTCTAGTCATTTTGTTGCCTTTTAAGATCCTGCCAATTGTATCCTGATTTAGAGCTGAAGCAGGGCTCTATACACATACTCTGCTACATAACAGCACATTATGATACTTATTATTTTTTCCCTTGAAACAAAGACTTCTCACAATTAGCCATCCATCTAGCAGATAGCATCATTGTAATGTAAGTGACAAGGCAATCACTCCATTAAAAAAAAAAAAAAAAAAAAGCTCCTTAGCAACACACTCTCAATGTCTCAATTTTTTGCTTAATAAACACTGTCAAGCTTATGAATAATTTCTGCAAGTAAACAAATAAGAGTTTAACTTTGATTTATTAAAATGTCATTGTATTAAACCTTACACGTTCATATTATTCAAAGGCCTAGAAATGCTAAGTTTTGGCATTTTTAATCATACTGCATTCAAATGTCTACCAGTCAACTTTTGGTTATTAAGAAGATTTTATCAAGGAGTTCATTGTACTGTACTTACTCAGGAGTTATATTCAGGAAGTACATTTAATTTGAACTACATTAGAGCTGTAACAGATTGTGAGAATTAACTAACTTTCAAGCTATGATGGTTTCCTACCATGTAATGATTACAATAATAGCCATTCTGGGTGTGCTAAGGTAAAAACACACGTCTGTTCTTTGAACTCAAGTTGTTCCTTTTTTACAACGGTTACTTGAGTTCTAGTGAATTTAGATAGTTATGGAAAATTATTCACTGTTATTTTATTTGCAGTATTAATATGCTTTAAAGGATTACCACATGGTTATTACTCCTACAGGCATTATAAAATTCTTCAAACTTCTTTAAGTATTTTCTAAATGTGAGTTGGGTATTTTTCAGGGTGAATTAAGTCCTTTAGACAGCTAGAATGCCATCTATTTAATAAAGTGTTATAGCGGACATTTAACTTTCTTCTCTGCTTTTGGCATTCTCGGGGCTGTTGAAAGGTAGGAGAAATCCCCAAGAGAAATAACAGTATACCCATTAATTTAGAGAACTGGAGATTTATGTCGTTAATTTGAATTTTAAGAGATGTAACCTCCCAAGCAGTCATACCCAGTTATAAATATATAAAACTAAGTAATGGTTTAAAAATATGTAGATTAAAAATAATCATGGCAAGGGAAATAGTAAAAAGGCATAGATGGAGGAAGAAGAAAATTATTTGGTCACAGTGGTTGGTGCAATTGCTAGAACTGAACCTGAGAAACTAAAGAAAGAAAACAGTAAGTCCTATATAATAAAAAAAAAAAAAGCCTAATATGTTGTGTCCAGTTATCCAGTCGGCCATTCAATCAATCAAAGAGTAAGATGCTAATGATATGCTAAGGCCACTCAACCACTTGCTGTGATGTGCACTGACCACCAGGGGACAGAAACTCTGACTGGTAGGTTAGCTTATTGCTGGGGTCCGGCCGATTGGGACTGAGGGAGACTGACCGGACATGCCCTGGAGTCCTCACACAGTCCCTTCCTGGCTGGCCAACCTCCCGTATCCCTCCTTCGCCCCAATCATGCACGGGTAAATCCCTTAGCCTGGCCTGGCCCTCTTGCAATACGGGACTCCTTGGGGGATGTCAGAGAGCGGATTTTGGCCCAATCCCCCAGGCCAGGCTGAGGGACCCCACTGGTGCACAAACTCATGCACCAGCCCTCTAATTATAAATAAAAAACAGGTATCAGTTCCTCAATGGAAAAAAAAAAAAAAGATTTTTTTGCCTTACATTAAAATTTTTAAACGTTTTATTGATAAATGTAACATGCATACAGAAAAGTACACAACACAACACAATGAATTATCACAAAATCTAGAACAAGACAATGAACAAAGCCAACACATCAGATACTCTCCCGCCCTCCATCCCCTTCTAATCATTGTCTTCCCTCTCCTCTCCAAAGTAACCATTATAGCAGCAATTTTCAAACTGCAAGAATTTTTTTAACATATATTTCATATTGCTTTCAGAGAGCAAGGAAGAGGGTGAGAGAGAGAAACAGAGAGACAGAGAGACAGAGAGAGAGAGAGAGAGAGAGAGAGAGAGAGAGAGAAAGAGAGAGACATAGAGAGAGACATCAATGATGAGAGAGAATCATTGATTGGCTGCTTCCTGCACACCCCCCATTGGGAATTGAGCCCACAACCTTGTGCCCTGACCAGGAATTGAAACTGACCTCCTAGATCATAGGTTGACACTCAACCACTGAGACACATCAGCCAGGCAAGCTGTAAGAATTTTTAAAACACTCAATACCTAACTATTTAGTCAGGGGCACTGATATTTTTTCCCTTAGATTGTTAATAAATAAATAAATAAATAAATAAATAAATAAATAAATAACAATAGCCAACACAAAAATAGCCATCCAGTGTGAATGAATAAAAATTATATTTTTTATCAGATTGTCAAAAAGTGTAATGCATTTTTTGGTGTGCCACAGAATTTTAATAATTAGTTTATGTGTGCCATGAGGTGAAAAAGGTTAAAAATCACTGCAGTATAGTATTCTATGGAAGAAAGAGTTAATAGTCTGATCTCTTTTGTTCAACCTTATATTTCTGAGATTTTTCCACATTGTTGCAGAAGCTATAGTTTTTCCTATTCATTAGAATGTGGCATTTTGTTGAGCAAATATAGCTCAATATACTTAACTACTATACTCTTGAAAGGCTTTTGGTTTGCTTCCAGTTTGGGGTAATTTCAAATTTTACTGCTAAAAGCATTTTTATAAAATGTATCTTGATGCACAAATCAATGCATTTTCATTGGTTATATTCCTAGGAGTGGGACTGCTAGATCAAAACTCTTTCGCAAAGTGGTTGTACCACGTTATACTCTCACCAGCAGTATGGGACAGTTCCCCTGGTTGGGTCTTCTGGCTCTGGGTCCCTCATGGTCTACAATCAAGACTGGGTACATGCCCTTGACCGGAATCGAACCTGGGACCCCCCAGTCCGCAGACTGACTCTCTATCCATTGAGCCAAACCGGTTTCGGCTGTTAACATTATCTTAATTCCTTAACTTTATAAGTCTCCATATGTAGTAGATATACAACTTTATGATTCTTTAAGAGTTTCTCTAATATCTTAAACCTTTCGCATTTCCATACATATTATAAAATAAGCTTGTTATATATTACACATACAAACACAATCCTACTGTAATTTTGAATGGCTCTGCATTGTATCTATAGATCAATCTGAGGACAGACATTGTAACAATATGAAGCTTCCCAACCTATGCACATATATTAATCCTTCACTTATTTAGGTGTTCAATTTCTTTCAAAAATATTTCATAACTCTCTGTAGGGTTGTTGAAATTTTTGGTTAAATTTGTTCCTAATTATTTGATACCCTGTATGCTATAATAAATTGTTATTTCTTTAAACATCAATGCTGTTTGTTACTTATTCATCTATGCAAACAGTTGATCTTTGACTATTGACTTTGTATCAGCTACTTTGTTAATCTACGAATTTAATAATTTTTCCTACATGTTTTTGGGGTTTTCTATGCTGTTATCATTTAAGAAAAAATAGTTTTATTGCTCCCCCCCCTAATCTATACTTCCTATTTCTTAAAAATACTAAACCCCACAATAATCTGAATGAGCAATGTCCTGGTAAAACTAGTTGCAAATTCAATTTAAAAAAATCTGTCAGTGGATTAAATCTTTTCACCTCACACGTTCTAACTATCTGTTATGCCCACACCATTGCCCCTCACACACTCCTTCCCAATCCTGCTGTCTGCCCAGAGCCCAGTAGGTTCAGGGGTCGGACTGCGCAAGCGCGCGCCAGCCTCACGCTCACCGCCCCGCCCCTCGCCGGACGCAGCCAATCAGCGGTCGCCTCTGCCAGGCGCGCCGCGGTCAAAAATGGCGGCGGCCGTTAGCTCCCGGAGGCTTTTCTGATTCCACGTCTCTACGCTTCCCGTGCAAAATGTGAAAGGAGGGGGGTCCTAGGCAATGAGTCGGCGAAGAAAACTTGGGGACAGCCCTGGCCCGAAGAGAACGCCGCGCCAAGCGGCGGCGACGGCGGCGGCTGAGGAATGCAGCTCGGTGGCCGAGTCAGGGAAGAGGCGGCTGCGGTCGGCCCGTGGGTCGGGGCTCCGCGGGGCTGGAGAGGGGTCTCTCCCGCCCGTGCCGCAGCCAGAGCAGCCGTCGGTAGCCGCTTCCTGCGGTAAAAGTAACTCCGGGGAGGGAGACGCGGCCTCTCCGGGGATGTTGGGATGGGAGGGAGGCGGGGTGGCGTCTGCAGAGTTTTCTTTCTCTGGGCCTCTCCCCTTGTGAGCCCCAAACTTACCCGGCACACGTCCCCTTGGCCTTGGTCCCCGAATTTGAGCGCTGCCCGTTAGGTTTGATCATCCCTTGTCGCTCCTGCCACGGGAATTAGGGGGGTGGGGTTCACCTGACGGAGGGGGGCGGCTCAGGTCTAGGCTGCCCCTCCGAGTCAGCGGTGGCGGAGCGAGGAGAAATAAGCCGGATGGACCTCTGCCGCCAGCTGTTTCCCAAGGCGGTTATTTCCGCTTAAACTTTTTGCCCCCCGACTTGCTTGAGAGAAGGGGACCCTCAGAAGAGCCATAGCTATGTGTATCCACAAAGCCTCAGGGATGCCCCCTCTCATTTTGCATAAACCGGAAGTGCCTAAGTAGGACTCCCCTCCCAGTAGGGCCCTGGAATATATTTCATTCTGATCCATTTTTGGTGTCCCATGTTTGTAACGTTTTTAATAAAGCATGGTGGGAACTGAGCCCCACACTAAAGCTGTTTCCCTGGAGCGTGTTCTCCAAACATGGCTTTTGTTGCCTTGACTGGTCTTCAGTTGACTCGCGCGTAAAAGCAACGCCAGAATGAGCAAAAACAAATCTCTAGACATTTTGAAAGTGATGCTGGACAAAACTGTCCTAAGAAGTGGGTCGCTGAAGCTTCTGGAAGTAATTGGTGTAAGCTGGGCAGAGTTGGTGAAGGCGGGCTAAACAGACTATACTGTACTGATGGTTGAAATGTATACATGACAGGTGGTTCCCAAAGCCTCCAAGATCCAATGGAAATGAGTGGAGTGACATCCATAGACCTATTAGGTTAATTTAAGCTATTTGCTGTTTATAATGTTAAATTTGGGAGGATTTTTATGTGAAACAAGCATCTCAGTTGTGAAACTTTATATTAAATGATCTCTGGGAGAAAATTAGATAATTGGACTATATAAAAAGTAATCTTGTTAAAAGCTATTATTTGATATTGGGGTACTATGAAGCAATGCTTTAAAATGCAACAACTGCTATTCTAATCTTATTTTATGTAGAAAAATATGAAACACCAAAGAGAGTGCTGAAAATGGATTTGTTGTCATCTTCCTTCAATTCTCCTAATGATCCAGATGGACTGAATGATATCTTTTGGGATCAAAATTCTCCAATGACCAAACAGTTAGGTAATTTGTTATTAACATTTTTATCTGGGTAACTATGTGAAAAATGATTAGGATTTACATTATTGGATTTCAGTTGGGGGAACAACATCATGAATTTTGTACAATAGATGTTTTTTGAGAATCTTATATGATTGTATTACTGTGATATACATGTGCTATCATAGATGTGCTAATTAAATTTGTTTTCTAAGAAATGAACACTATTTTTAAAAATATTTTTATGTACATTTTTAGAAATGTATTTCTTTCTTTAGGTAAAGGAAGAAGAAAAAAGATTTACAACACAGATAGTGATGAGATCTCACATATTGTTAATTGTATTGCTCCTCAGGTAAATATCACTAGTTTTATAATTATGTTACTAAGTCCTTGTACAGTTCATTTATATGAGAAATGTTTTTATCTTTTACAACTCTCTTTACAGAAAATAGAGCAGCAGATATAACTAATACATTTTTCTATTACAAAAATGCATATTCTGAAAAGAGGAACAATATAAAATTAGTAATTATACTTTTCTAAACATAATATCTTGTTTTAATTTTCAATTTAGATTTTTTTAATTAAATTTATTGGGGTGACATTGTATAATATGATCATGTAGGTTTCAAGTGTGTGTTTCTATGTTACAAGCTCTGTATATTGCACCGTGTGCCCACCAACCAAAGTCAGATCATCTTTCGTCACCTTATTTTGATTTTCTAGAGTGATGATTTTGACTAGAGCTTTCTGTTTAAATTTAAATTTCTGTCATAGAATCAGACAATGAAAATTTAAACTTTTAAGGTTTTTATAAATGATTGGTAATTGTGTACTGACTGTAACACGACTTTTCTCTATTAAAACTGCTCTGATTGCCGAAGCCGGTTTGGCTCAGTGGTAGAGCTTCCGACTGCGGACTGAAAGGTCCCAGGTTTGATTCCGGTCAAGGGCATGTACATTGGTTGCAGGCACATCCCCAGTAGGGGGTGTGCAAGAGGCAGCTGGTCGATGTTTCTCTTTCATTGACGTTTCTAGCTCTCTATCTCTCTCCCTTCCTCTCTGTAAAAAAAAATCAATAAAATATATATTTTTTTAAAAACTGCTCTGATCGTCAGCATTGTAAAATTGGGGAAAAACACTGGATTTGGAGTTAGTTCTCAGATCACCTCTTGAGTCACCCTAAGCAAGCTACTTAAGCTGTCAGAACTTCATTTCATTCAGCCATAAACTAGAATTACTTGTCTTGCTCTTTTTATTGAATTAATATGAAGGTTATATTAGATAACAAATCTTTGTAAACTTTGAACACTATAAATACAAGGTATGTTATAGTTACTTATGTGTTAAAATTACAATTAAATTATTTGCTATAATAGAATCATCTGTAAAAGTTTATTTTTCTTACACTGCTTGAATGAAATAGAAATATAAAGTAAAGTCAACCTCTGTTCTGAAGTTGACTTTACTTTCCTCTCTTTTTTCCTTATTTAACAAGTTTAAATCCAGAAAACATCCAATTTTTGCTTAGTATCTTTTCTATAGGAAGTTTGCTATTTTTCTTTAACACAACCATGGATAGTGACTTATGTTAACCAAATACAATAGATGGCACTGACCCAAATTATAGTTACACGGAATCAGCATAATCCAGGTGGAAAAGACAGGAAATAAAGCTTCTCTTTATGGCTATAAAACATCCCAAATTACAACTATGATAGTCAAAACAACTCTGTTGGTACTAGCTCTACATTCCATGTTTGACTTGTCATAGAAATTCATTTTCCAATTCATTAAATAGAATTTATGCCATAATACTACTTACTTCATGAGTTAACAGTAGATCTTCATTAATTGTGAGTTTCATATGAAAGAAGCATAATAAAATGTGTTTGGGCTGGCCAGCCTAAATAGTGATAAAAAGATAGTTGAGTAAATTATTGGACTCTAACTAAGAGGGATGGAAATAATAGCTCACATAATGAAATGGCAACAGTATGCAAGTGGTAACTTGTATATAAGAAAAAATACAGTGAAATTAGTTGCTTTTAAATGTTATCCTTTTCAACTGAGTACTTTTAAAACATAAATCTTTGGTAATACCAAGATTATTTTAAAAGCTTTAAAAAGTATTCACAAATGACATATTTATGTTGTTTATTTTTAGGTGAGTTAACCTCAAATAATTATTTCGATCAACTTAATATTTTCAGAATTTATTATTTGAGGAAAATAAATCAACGTAGTTAAAGTTGCCTTTTCTACTTCCTTTTTCTCTCTTTTTTATTTATTTTACACCTCTTTTTTTTTCCACTTCTGCCAAAGGATGAAAAACCAACAACAGATTCCATGCTGGGCGTGTGGATTGGTGAAACTGCTATTCCTTGTACTCCTCATGTAGCGAAAGGAAAATCAAGAGCAAAATTCAGCTGCACAAAGTAAATTCAAACTTTTTAGTTTTTTCTGACATTCAGTGAAGTAAATATTTTCAATAATTGATTTGGTTTTGTGATTATATCAGAAACATTTCCTTAGTTTTGACGTGTAGAATTTTGTACTTAAAATAATTACAATGTTTAAAATTTTTAAGTTTTAACATATTAAAATATGTCAAATAACAATTGAATATTTATAACAACTCTTAGAACTTTTCTGACAATTTTTAACATATTTGTCTAATAGGTTAAAAACACAAAATCAAGAGGAAGAACTTATGAAATTGGCTAAGCAATTTGATAAAAATATGGAAGAGCTAGATGTGATTCAAGAGCAAAGCAAGAGAAATCATGATTTTATCCAGGTGATTTCAGAAGTAGAGACTTTAAATAATTATAAAGATAATGTACAGATGCAGTTATTACATGATATCGTTCCTGAAATAGATAATGCTAAAATAAAGAAGCCAGTGAAGGAAAACACCAAGGTATCTGTGGTAAATGATCAATATAACAGTCAGAAGCCATTTGACCAAAATGCTGAAGCAGCCTTAAATGCCATTTTTGATGGTTCTACTCAGAAGTGTAGTGGACAGTTAAGCCAAGATCCGTCAGATGCCTTGTGGAGCACTGTTAATACTACCTCTGGAAAGAAAAGTGCTTTGCAAGAAGAGAAAATCATTAGTAATGAAACTCAAGTTACTGAAAAACTACGAAACAAACCCCCAACGTCACTTTCTCATCAAATAGATACTCCTGGGATAACAAAATCATATGTGACTTCTAGTACTAAGGAGCCAGAAGCTTTTAATAAGCACCTGGATATATTTGAGGACGAATGGGAAAACTTATTAAATAATGAACCTTTTGTTATGCAAAATGTAGGAATATCTGAACTTTTTTCTGCTCCTGAAACAGTCCAGATGGTTGATCAAAAAGAAATTTGTATTTTTAACAGTAAAAATGGTAAAAGTAACTCAAGAATGAATATAAGTACAGATGCTGAGTTTAGACATTCAGAAGTTTTAGATGTTTCTTCAAACACACATACCAATAAATTAATAGATGCTAGAAAATACAGATTTTCACCAAATTCAAATGATAAACCAAACCAATTACTATCCATTGGAAATAAAGTGAAATTTGAGAAATCTTTTAATAAAACCATTCAAGACAAAACTCAAGATGGTGCAGTTGCATCCGATCCAACAAAAGTAAAAGAAGATATTCATACTGAATTTATTTCTAATGTAAATACTTCTCTAAAAAAGTCTACTTTGAAGACAGGATATTCTAATGAACAGAAAAATAAGTCAAATTTTAATTCATCATTTAAGATGTCTTCTAATATAGATACTTTTGACTCTGCTGCTTTGGACAGTGCAAATCAGACTGATGCATCAAATATGGATTATTTCTCTGATGATTGGAATGACCCATCATTTGCCAATGAAATTGTTAAAACATGTCATCAATTAGAGAATACTTGGGAAGCTGATGATGTAGAGGATGACCTATTATACCAAGCATGTGATGATATTGAGAAACTAACTCAGCAGCAAGACATGAGAAAAAATAACAAGATATCAAAAAGTATACTTGACATTAATAATAGTTCCAAACATGGAGCCAAAAACAGGTTTACTACATCTAAACAAGGAAGTCAGTTGGTGCAATCAACGTATTTGAATCTGAGTGATGATATTTCAGCACAATCGTCTTCATTGACTGATACCTCACAAATAAATAAATCAGTGAAGATGCAAAAAGGGGAAATTTGTGGAAATTCTCCAAGTTTTATAGGTGCGACAACAAATTTGACTATATACTCTAAGAACTCAAATTGTCAGATCAATCATTTGCCTGTCTCTTGGAGTAATACTGATATTCCAATAGAACTGAATAGTTCCAAATCGGTTCTTATAAGAAGTTCAAGTTTGAATGTGAATTCAGATCATGTGAGTACAGAAGTAGCTACTTATGAGAATAAATTTAGTACGCGGCATCTGTTCCATGGGACAAGAACCAATGAAGCTCAGAATGATCTTAACAGAACAGTTACATTTTCTAAGTACAGGTTTACAAAGATAAAAAATTCTCATGTTCTTTCCCAAATTAATCAAAATTGTATAACAGAAAGTATCTCTGAAACCAGAATTACACAGAATTTGGAGAAAAACAAAATTCCTGTCAACTCATTATGTGGCAAGACTGTTCAACAGCAATCTTTGATGAAACCTGAATCTTTGAAACAACCTTCAAAAGGTATGTATCAAATAATTTCCTTTGAAAGGTTATCTTGGGAAGTAGCCAAAGTAGTATTTTGTTGTTGTATTGAATCTGCATAACATGTAAAAGTAAAAATTATGATGTTTAACAATGTCATAATGTGTTTCTTACTAATAATTATGTTGTGATATATAGAGTGAGTGATTTGTTTTCAAAAGACTGTATCAAATTCTTTATCAGCATTTAGTACAGTGACAAGCATGTAGTAAATACTTGTTCCATTTTTCTGAATTATTTTGTGAAAAATTATACTTTAGAAATATATATATATTTATATATTACTGTGTGAGACTCTTTATGAAATATCTCATTGTTTTAAAACTTGAATAATCTTACTATGTTGAGCAGAACATTGAGGTGAGTAATATTTGAAAATGTAGGGCACTTTCATTAAATACCTATTCTAGAATAATAGCTGATATAAAACTATAATGATAATTCTAATTACTTACTCAGTACAACCAGTCTTCTTTCATTTCTGCCAGTTCCTATTTTCCCAAATTCTCATTTTTATCAGCATGTTCTGTTGTTTCTACAACAAAAAATATATCTCAAAATTGTCCATTTTTCTCACCCTCTACTATTACTATTCTTTTCTAAGCCAACATACATTGACTGGACCACTGCAGTTCTTTTACCTGTCCCATTTCAATTCTACTCTCTAAATAGCAGAATAACTTTTTACAAATGAATAGGTAAACTTCATTCCTATGCTTAATGACAGCCTTCAATAGCTGATTGTATTTCAAATAAAAAAGTTTGAATTTGACCCTTTTATCTAAGGCTTAGATTATTTCTCTTTAACCTGCCTGTCCTCTTTTTTTCCCTTTACCTACTAAGCTTCAACTATACCAACAGTCTTTCAGTTCCTCAATAAAAATAGGTTCTTTCCTAGTTCAATTTGACTGCTATTCCCAACTAAAACTACTTTCCCCCACACCACCCTTGGGTGCTTTTTTATCCTTTGGTCTCAAGTTTAAAAATTACCCTCTCACAGAGGCCTTTCTTGAACAATCTGTAGTTAAGTCTTTTCCTTGTTTTCCATCATCTCTTATTTCCTTCACCTTTTAAAATCACAATTAAATAATTGATTATGATCTTATCAGTGAGTTCCTTGGCCTACCACAGTATCTGATACTTAGAAGATGTTTGATAAATATTTGAGTGAACATCATATAATATAATGTAAAAGGTCTTTTACTCACTGATATCATAATATTTTTTAATATATTTTATTGATATTTTTTTTTTATAGAGATAAAGGGAAAGGGATAGAGAGTTAGAAACATTGAAGAGAAACATCTATCAGCTGCAGCCTGCACGCCCCCTACTGGGGATGTGCCCACAACCAATGCACATGCTTTTGACCAGAATCAAACCCGGGACCCTTGAGTCCACAGGCTGACGCTCTATCCACTGAGCCAAACCAGTCAGGGCAAGATATCATAATATTTTTTAAAGGGAATATGTTTGGCATAACTACTAGTACTTCTTAATGTCCAATATTTTATCATAGCCTTCCATCTGCAAATGCTATTTCCTTTGCCCGGAATAGTGCACCCACATGTCTATACCAAATCTGCCAGGCCATTTTCCATTTGCTTTTAAAAATACAATGTGTTTTTAACCACCTTCAGAATGATTTACATTCACTTTCTGTGGCTTACTCCAATACTTAGTGCTAATTTCTGTTACAGTATTTAGTATATTCACTTGTAATTATAGATTTTCTTAAATTAGTCTCCCTCACTTGGAGCTAACAACATTAGACTCCTTATTTGTTATGTAGATTAGTGCCAATAGGAGAAAGTTTTTCATTTCTTTTAACATTAGATCTTTCTTTTCAGTTTAGATTCTAGATAATGTTTTTGTTGGTATTACTGTTAGAATTTTCCTATTTAAGTGATCCCTCCTCTTTAAAAAAAATTATAAGTCCACTATTTCTCCTTTCCCATACCATTTCCCAGGAAAAGCCACTGGTAACAGTTTGGAATACATCGTGTAACATTTTTGTGTGTGTATAAAAATGTGTGTGTGTGTGTATTTATAGATTTATCAAAATAGATGGAATTATATGCTGTATACCCCCTATTTGGCAATTGGTTTTACCTTCACTTAATATATTACAACTATCAAACATAGATTTGCTTCAGTTCTTTTAACACACTGTATAGTATGTCATTATATGGATGCAACAATTTATTTGACTGTATCTATTGATGGAAGTGTAGTTTGGCTATAGTTTTTTACATTACAAACAATCCTCCAGTGAATATCCTACATAAATTTCTGTATACTCTTGAGATTATATCTGTTAATTACTGAAAAATTAACGAAGAGAATGTTTTGAATTTTGATGGCTATCACCAAATTTTCCCTAAAAGTTACATCAATTTATATTCTTATCAATACTGACAAATAATATATCTCTACATTATGGCCCAAGCTAGATATTTTGAAACTTTAAGAATTATCAATCTATGCCCTGGCAGGTGTGGCTCAGTTGGTTGCATGTCAAACCATGCACTAGAAGGTTGCTGGCTCGATTCCCAGTAAGAGCACATGCCCGGTTACAGGCTGGATCCCCAGTAGGGGATGTGCAGGAGGCAGCCAGTTGGTATTTCGCTGTGACATCCAGGTCTTTCTCTCCCTCTCTTCCTCTGTCTGTAAAAATCAATTTAAAGTATGTTAAAAAAAATTGTTAAATCTATATTTAAAATATTTATATTCATTGTGTATATTAAAAGTGTAATTCATTGACTCATACTCCCCAAATGAATACATTAACATATAATTGTAATTCTTTTCAAGACTAAATCTCTAGAATATTTGAGTTTTCCCAAAACTTTTATCTACTAATCTATCTTTGTTATGGAGGAATAATCTGCCTTTTAATTTATCTTATCAATTTTTCCTTTGAGTTGATTGATAGCATCTAAATTCCTTTTTTCTAATGTTTTTTTTAATTAATTTGAGAGAGAGAGAGAAAGAGAAATACTGATTGGCTGCCTCTCCTAAGCACCCTTACTAGGGGTCAAGACTGCAACCTGGGCCAGGAATCCAGCAGGAAACCTTTCAGTGCATGGGACCACATTCAACCAATTGAGCTGTGCCAACAGGGCATATATTATATAATATTCTAATGAATATTAAACGTGTTGATATTTTCTGTTGTTTATACTTCCTTTTACTTTGTTATGTAGTAAACTGCTCTCCAGCACATGTCTGAAACAAAACCCATTTAAGAACCTCATTCCTGGAAGGCAAGGTTTGGCAAACCTGGCCTGTCCAAATCTACCCTATGTGGCCTGTTTTTTAACAGCAGCATGCTAAAATGCCTTTCACTTTATAAATGGTTGGAAAATCAAAAGAAGAAGAATATTTTGTGACTTTTATAAACTATAATCCTAATTTTATTGTTCCTACACAAATTTATATCTGAACAGAGCTACATCGTTTGTTTATATATTGTCTGTGGCTGTTTTCATGCTGCAATGACAGAGTTGAGCAGTTAGATTAAGAGATTATATGACCTGCAAAGGTTAGCATATTTACTTTCTGGCCTATTACAAGAACAACAACAAATTTGCTGACCTCTGCGTTAGATTAAGATTTAGAGTCACTCTTGCTTTGTACCTTGCAATAGTTTGAGACTTTGCTATGTATTTTTATTGCAGATTGAGTTAAAGGAAGGGCTGATGGGAGAAATGGATGACTCTCTCTAAATCAAATTTTCATGGTGTGACTTTATTATATCCTTTGAAATTATTTTCCAGAATATCACCAAGCCAACTGTAAGGCCAATTGTAGGGAGCTATGTTCTTTTCTTTCGTCATGGATTATTAACCTGTATTCCTTCCAAATTTATGGTCAATTGAATATAAATTGTGTGTGCACGTATTCTGAATTTCTTGTGTTTCTCAGGTTTGAGGTTAAAGTATTAGATAATTAGTCTAGCTGATTTTAGGTATCTTGTAGCTTTCTGTAAGGAAAAAAAGCTACACTCTGAGATAAATAGTTTAGGAAATAAAAGACATCAGAATCATTAGGGAGTTTATTCAAAATACACATCTCTCACCCTGAACACCGGCTCCCATTCAGATTATACCAAAAAAGAAATGAAAACAGATGATATATTTTAGACATATCTCCCTTAGTTAACAAGAGAAATGTAACAAATTCTGAACCTTTGTTTAGATGTCAGTATATTTTTCTGCTGATAATATAGATTCTTATTTAATTCTCTGAAATGCAGATTTTACAACATAAAGTTTTACGAATACAATACGCCATTTAAAGATGTATTATGGCAATGGTCTTAATTTTATAGCATTTAAACGAAATAGGTTTGCTATTTAAAGCTTTATTTTTATTAATATAACTTATTATATTAACTCAAAGTGGCCTAACTATTGAATTAAATTCATTATATTAGAACTCAGTATTTTGGCAGAGATAAAATTGTGTTTTGTTAAAATAGAACTTTCTTATTTTCATTTGTTTAATTTGAAATATTGTTTATTTTATAGTGTGTTTAAAGTATGCATAAGAATATACATATATCAGAATGCTTCACATTTTTATATATTAAAAAGAGATTCAAATTGGAGAATTTATTCATATATTTTGCTTTTTAAAATAATTTTCTAATGTTTATATAAACTGTGTCCTCCAAATAAAAAGATAATACCTGACAATGAGTTACATGTTTATTGACATGCTGAATTTCATTCTATCATGATAAAATATTTCTCCTAAATGACTGAAATGAAATCATGGATTTCTATAGAGGTGAATATGAATATACCTTATCTTATAAATACACTATTTGAAGTATTGATATCTAATTTAATTCATTATATTTGAACTATTTTACATTTAAAATCTGTCTTTTAAATGTGTTATAGAAATTAGATGTCATTCATAAGAATTACTTGATGGGTAGTCAAAATGTACCATTTTTTTTTTTTTTTTTTATATATTTTATTGATTTTATACAGAGAGGAAGGGAGAGAGATAGAGAGTCAGAAACATCGATGAGAGAGAGTCATCGATCAGCTGCCTCTTGCACACCCCCTACCGGGGATATGCCCGCAACCAAGGTACATGCCCTTGACCGGAATTGAACCCGGGACCTTTCAGTCCCCAAGCCGACACTCTGTCCATTGAGCCAAACCGGTCCCGGCAAAATGTACCATTTTTAATTAAATGAATTTTATCACACTGAAAAAAGGGCATTAATCAGGGACAGACTTATCATTGATTTTTTGTTTTATTTTGGCCTACAACAAGCATTATGTCTGTACTTGGAATTTCACATATAGTAGTTCAGTGTGACATAATAGTCAAACCAATGTGTTAACTCTGGGTAATAAAAAGTAAAAATTAAAACATCTTAAGAATGACTTTATAGACTGTAACAATAGTATCTGTGTTTTGTTTTAATTTTTTAGAGGAAGAAGAGAAAAATAGGAAGTATTCTCCTGAAGAAATTCAGAGAAAAAGACAAGAAGCGCTGGTTCGAAGAATGGCTAAGGCACAGGCATCATCTGCAAAGGCAGCTCCCACTTAATGTGGCTTTTTACTGAAATGGTAGTTGGAAGACTTAACAAAGACAGTTGATACCTATTGATGATAGGAAACATTGTATTTGATTTCTCTGTGAGAAATGTAATGCTGAGTTATAAAGCATGGACTTCTTTATTTAATAAATCATGATTGCATTGATCAATGAAACTTTCCTTGGAAATGTATGTGAAAGTAATTCCATGTAAGTTTTGGAAAGTTAACAGTTATGTAATGGAATTATATAGAAAAAATGAGATTTTTTAAATACTGTGATGTCAGGAGATTGTCAAAAAATAGTTGTCCAGTTTTTTATTTTAATAGGGCACTTTTCCTAATATAAGGCTTCAACCTACTAAGTTAAAGGAGACAATTTTTAAAATATTTTTACTTTTAGTAACTGTTCCTTAAGGTTTTTATATGTTTCTGAAGTTTACTTAATACTTTCACATTCTTAGGAACATGTTTAGAGGAAATTACTCAATTTATTTGTAAGAAAATTATTGTTTACAGTCCCTAGTCTGAAATAGATTTGAATTCGAATTTTCTAAAATTTTTTCCACCATTTTTAGGGAAGATGGTAATTTAAGAAGTTTCTTTTAGAAAAAAAGTGGGTTGGCTATATAAATAATGTACCATCGTTAACATTGAGAACAGTCAGAAGCTTTAGATATCATTTGATCCAGCTTTATTGTATAGATGAAAAAGAAATACTGTATTCTGAAAGTCACAAGACAAATTAAAACTGTACTGGAATTAAAATAAATTTTTAAAAATATATTTTTATCAATTTCAGAGAAGAAGGGAGAGGGAGAGAAACATAAAAACATCGATGATGAGAGAGAATCATTGATTGGCTACCTCTTGCACACCCCCCACTGGGGCCTGAGCCTGCCACCTGGGTATGTGCTCTAACTGGGAATCCAACCATGACCTCCCAGTACATAGGTTGATGTTCAACCACTGAGCCAGCCCAGATGGGCTAGAATTATTTCTTGCATCCTAATGGATACCTAAACAATTGTACCATTTCCTGCAGAACATTAGTACATAAGATAACTTGTCTTCATATTAATTATTTTATAGTCTAAAACTGAAATAAGTAAAAGTACATTAAGGACTGTTTAGATATGATGCTCATATTTTCTTGTGTTAAAGAATAAATCATTCTAGGGTATAATTTCTGGTTTTCTATAACTATGTAATTTTCCCTTGATTAACTTACTGACTTTGTTAATTTGTTCTTTTCCGTTACTCTTCTTTTTTCTTTTTGCATGTTTGGAATTTGCTAGGCCAGAAGTAATTGAACCACGACCTCCTGGCTCAACCCCTGAGCCACACTGGTGGGCTACAGTAGCTTTATTAACTCAAAAGAATGTCACAATGGTACAGTGCACTTAGGTATAATCTTATAAGTGCTCAAATGGCCAGTCTTTATTGTTTCACACATTTTAAAAAATATATATATTTTATTGATATTTTACAGAGAGGAAGAGAGAGGGATAGAGAGTTATAAACATCAATGAGAGAGAATCACCCATCAGCTGCCTCTTGCACACCCCCTACTGGGGACGCGCCCGCAACCAAGGTACATGCCCTTGACCAGAATTGAACCTGGGACCTTTCAGTCTGCAGGCCGACACTGTCCACTAAACCAAACCGGTCTTGGCTGTTTCACACATTCTTATTGTCTAATCACTATATTCAAGCATACTTTGGCACAGAGTTATTTTCATCAATTTCTTGACAACTATTAACCTAGTTTTGCTCACCCCTGTACAGTAGAGTAACACATTCTAGGTAGCCTTTAGTATTCATCTAAGAAAATATAACCTAAATAAATAAGTCATATACCACTTGATGGGGATACATTTTTAGAAATGCATCGTTAGTTGACTCAGTCATTGTATGAACATCATAGAATATACCCCATTACACATTTAGGCTATGTGATATAGCCTATTGCTCTGTAGGAAGGAAAAATAATTTTCCTTCCATTCTTCTGGGTTCTTGGCTGAGACATCCCTGTAAATAAATACAGATTAATGGGGGCGGGGGGGGGGGAATGGAATAACATGTATATGTACCATATACATGGGAAAGACCGGGAAAATTAAGTAAGTTGCCAACATGACTGAAACTGCTAAATATCATCAGCTGAAGACAAAAGATGTTGGGGGTGGCAGAATCAGTTATGGGACTGAATCTGAAAAAGTGCTGTAACCCAAGCGTAAAGTTGTTATGCAGATGTAAATGGTTGCCTTCTGTAATGATAAAAGAGTTTCTAGAGATCAGATCATTCTCCCTAAGTGGAGAGAGACACCCTTACAATTGAAGATTTCCCTTATAGGTGAGTCTTAAAAAGTGTATCTTCAAGTTGGTTTTTAGCACTTCTCCCATGTCTGCTATTCCTTAAAATCACCTAGACTAAAATAATCCTTATGCTAGAGTGACATATTTTAGGGATATTTACCTTAAGTTCTTACTTGCCTACCACCTGCTTCCTGTCTAGAGTTCTTTTAGCCAATTTTGTCCAATTCTACACAAACAATTTCAGAGAATTGAAGAGGTGGACTATTTCCCAACTCATTCTAAATGGTGAGTGTTATCCAGATCCTAAAACCTGAAACAGACATTAAAAGAAAACTAAAAAGCAGTATCCCTCATGAGTATAAGTGCAAAAATTCTAAACACAATTTTTAGCAAAGCAAATTCAACATGTAAAAAAAAGATGTTGCATCAGAACTAAATGCTATTTATCCCAAGAATGCAGGATTAGTTTTTAACATTTGAAAGTCATTGAAATTCACTATTAACAACTGTAAAGGAAAAGTTACATAATTAATTGATTAGAGAGAAACTTCTTTACCTGACTGAGGGCATCTACTAAAAGAGTATAGGTAACATGATAATGGTGAAAATGTTTCCTTCCTAAGATTGAGAACAAGACTGATGTCTGCTCTCACTACTTGTATTTAGTTTTGTGCTGGAGGCCCATGGGACAAGAAATAAATGAAAATCATCTTGACTGAAAAGATGATATATAACAATTTGCGGACAACATGATCACCTATTTAGAAAGTCAATGTAATTATTAAAAATGCCACTAGAAATAATAATTTGCCAAAGTTACATAATATAACATTAATATAACAAAAACATCACATTTCTATATCTGGCATCAAATGAAACTGAAATACAATTTACAAATGTTTTTAAAAAAATTTATTAGGGTGACACTGGTTAACAATTTCATGTTTCAAGTATAAAATTCTACACTTCGCTGAAGCTGGTTTGGCTCAGTGGTAGAGTGTCGGTCTGTGAACTGAAAGGTCCCAGGTTCGATTCCAGTCAAGGGCATGTACATTGGTTGCAGGCACATCCCCAGTAGGGGGTGTGCAAGAGGCAGCTGGTCGATGTTTCTCTCTCATCGACGTTTCTAGCTCTCTATCTCTCTCCCTTTCTCCTCTCCGTGAAATATCAATAAAATATATATTTAAAATTCTACACTTCATGCACTGAATTGTATATTCACCATCCCAAGTCAAGTATCCATCACCATTTAAAAATATGGAGTACTTAGAGATAAATCTAACAAAAGATGTCGAAGACTTGTACACTGAAAAAACTAAAACATTGCTGAAAGAATTAAATAGGTATACTATGCTCGTTGTAAGGTACTAAGATACTAGATCTCCCCAAATCTATAGATTTGACATAGTCCCAATCAATATCAAAAGCCAATTTTGTTATAGATCCTTTGCACTTTCATATGAATTTAAAATTCAAATGAAAGTGCAAAGGATCTATTAATTGCAAAACGTGTTTTGTTTTGTTTTGTTTTAAATAAATTGTTATTGTTCAGATTATTACAAATGTGTTCCTCTTTCTCCCCAACCCCTCAATTGCTCCCCTCCACCAGGTTCCTAGCTCACCCTCCTTCCTTTCCCCATCCCCCATTGTTCTCATCCATAGGTGCACAGTTTTTGTTCAGTCTCATTATCTGATCTCAAGACTTGTAAATAAAGCTACAGGAATCAAGACTGGTAGTGACATACAGATAGGCAAATAGTTCAGTGAAACAGTTTATAAGTACATTCACACATACATGGACAAGCGAATTTTTACAAAGGTAACTACTGTAGAAAAAATCTTTTCAATAAATTGTGCTGTAACAATTGAATGCCATATACAATAAAAATCCACTTTATACCTCATACTATACAAGTGTATCATAGATCAAAATACAAAACTTAAGACTATATTTTATCGGAATAAATAACGTGCTTCAAAGGATATAAAAAAGTAAAACAACCTTTAAACAAGAAAAGTCTTTGTGAACCACATATGTACTGATTAAGGATTTGTATCTAGAAAGTATAAATTATTCTTAAAACTCAACAATAAGACAAAACAACCCAATGAAGGGAGGGAGGAGCAAAAGATTTGAACAGGCAATTCATCAAGAAGACATAGATGGCATATAAGCACACAAGAAGTCCATCATCACTAGTCATTAGGAAAAGGGAAAAAAACAATGAGATATCACTACACATGATTAAAATTAAAAAGACTTGACTATGCCAAGTATTGGTAACATCTGGAAAAATTCATGTTGATGGCAATATAAAATGGTAAAAGTTTTATGATTTATCTAAAACTAGAAAATGCAAACTAATGTGACAAAAATCAGTGATATGGGAAGAATGAATGAGGGATAAAATGGGGGATGGGATGGTAATGGTTATGTTTACCATCCTATATAATAAAAGGCTAGATCATAATGGGGGTGGGGTGGTAATGGATAGTTTATCATCCTATATAATAATATGCAAATTGTCCCCTTGACCAGGAATTCAACCATGGGGTACGGCCGTGGCTGGCCAATAGCCAACAGTTCCTCCCTCCAGCTGGCCGGGCCTGATCGGCCCCCATCAGGGTGGGCCAGCCAGATTCCACCCATGCACAAATTTGTGCACCCCATCTATAGTGTACACATAAAAATGT